ATGGATGGATGGATGGATGAACGAAGGAATGAATGATGCACTAGTACTACCAAAGCTCGTTAAAAAATAATAAAACGTGGTAGAAACAATTCCATAAAGTAATCATGGTGCCCACGTACAGCAACATTCTAGACAAGTAAAATGTGTCAAGGCAAAACTTGTCATAGAAATCTTGCTCGTCTGTATTTTGCTTTACATTGAAATGTTCTTTAAAGGACTGCGCGCTTTATTAACACAGTTATTTAACTGTCTAGAGTGAGCACTCGTTGTTTGAGCAGAGATTGAAGTTCGTGAAGAGAAGAAAGACTGGTGTTGGACGAATGAAAGGAAATTATTTACACATGGGATGAAAGGACTGTGCACCTGATAAGCTCTTTAAACAACGGAATATTTTGACCATAGTTTGTTAATATATTATGAGTCAAAACAACTCGGTTCTCCAATTCACTTTGGGTCTGCATTGGGAGATTACTGCTCGCGTCTACTCCAAATGGTAAGTAGAATAACCGAAAAAGGAACATCTGATTTATTTGCGCGGTTTTCTGAGAGAAAATTATAAGTGTTTTCTTGATAGAATAGTGTTTTGAATCTGTCAAATGTTTTAAACAGATAAATATTGCATATATTCATTCCTAACAAAACCCTTTAATCTATTCGTTTTCACCTTAATTCATGAGCTAGGAACCAGCCAAGCCCTTATTTTCTACGATATTGATGACTTTTCTCGTTTCATATCTAAGAAAACGATGATGTTGATGCGGATCATAGTGTTGATTGTTGGATTCTTTGGCCTGGCATCAGCAGCAGGTGAGTTAAAACTGGTCCTAGCGAACAACCAACTGCAACTGAATTGGATGAAATAATTTGTATAATTTTCCCTTCTTTGTACAGGGACTTGGGGTTATGGCAAGACTAATGGTGAAGGTAAACCTGAAAAACTTACAGAATTTTTCAGTCTTATTAGCACTTTAGATCGTCCATGATATAATTGCTTTTCATTTTGTTAGTGTATGGACCATCAGACTGGGGTCACGTGTCCGAAGATTGCAATGGTCGTGCCCAGTCTCCAGTTAACATCGTCCGTGATGAAGTCAAAGATGATGATGATGATGATAATAGCTTGCGTCCACTGCGTGTAAACTTTCAGTATGTTTCTGGGACTGTAAAAGGAACTCTGGTCAACAATGGGCATTCGCCAACTTTCAATGTGGAGAAAGGTACAATTTTGCTACATAGATAGTAAGTCTCTCAAAGCTAGTCACGTGGTCATACCCCATCCAATCACTGATTGTATTTCAATTTACTTTTACAATTCATTTTGATTCATTATTTTTACTGCTTGTCTTGTTTGATTAACTCGAGGTGGAGCAAGTGTGATCAATCCAGTTAATGGACAGAAGTACGTCCTTGCACAGTTTCACTTTCATTTCGGATGTACTGATGACGTTGGTTCAGAGCACACGATTGATGGCAAGTCTTACCCAGGAGAGGTTAGTATTTATAGGAGAACATATTATGTACACAGTAAACGAGTGCTAAGGCATTATTTAATCAAACAACACAACATTGCGTTTGTTCTTTTTTCAGCTTCACCTGGTGTTCTACAACGCCAAATATGACCACATTTCCACCGCTGCTACCAAATCAGACGGCTTGACAGTGATTGGTGTTTTCCTGAACAAGGTAATACACAATCATTGATTGTTTCCAGCAACATAACATGAAAGCAGCCTTTCAATAAATTGAATTAATATGGAGCTTTTTGCTTATTTTTTTATATAAATATAGAGCTATTTCGGACTAGACTATAGCATGTATAAGTTAACAAGAAGCATCAGAAAGATCAAAGCAGAAGGTAACGAACTTTTAAATTGCCACTAAGCTATCGTTATACTTAGTTATAAATATATAGATCCAACTAGTCGGAATTCTTTAGTTTAGTTTAGTTTTTTTTTCTGCTGAAGGGGGATCTGCCCTTGATCCAACTAGTCGGTCAAATACATAGATCCAACTAGTCGGCCAAATATATAGATCCAACTAGTCGGCCAAATATATAGATCCAACTAGTCGGCCAAATATATAGATCCAACTTGTCGTTCAAATATATAGATCCAACTAGTCAGTCAAATATATAGATCCAGCTAGTCGGCCAAATATATAGATCCAGAAAGTCGGCCAAATATATAGATCCAACTAGTCGGCCAAATATATAGATCCAGGTAGTCGGTCAAATATAGAACCATCACTTTTCGCTACTAGTAGGACTTATAACTTATAGCCCAGTATTAGCTCATCCAATCAGAACTCAGCATGATAGACCACTAGTTGGATTTGACTGAATAATATTAGCCACTGTGTTAACACGTGTTCATGTTATTTTCGAAGGTGCAAAAGTATCAATCTATGTCAAACTGGAGCGCTTAATTCGTGGTTTGTCGTCTGGTAGCAGATCATACTATACATACAAAGGATCCCTGACCACACCTGGATGCTATGAGTCTGTTAGATGGGTGGTGCTCAAGAGTCCTATTAGCGTGAATCAAAACGATGTATGTCCGTTTTTTGTTTTTCTTTTATATATAAAGAAATCTACAGTTTTCAACTTGTTCCAATATCAATAAGAGCCTGGTAACGATAACACAAAAATATCTATCACAAGAGTAGCAAAATATGATTTGCAAGTAAATAGCTCAATATTACAGCGGTTTTCGTAAGATTGTGAAACCGGAAACGATCTTACTGTTACCGTAACTACGCGTTGTGATAGGATGAATTACTGGAAGAGATTGGGAAGCCATTTCAGTGTTATGGCTCGTCGTACACGTGCTTTAACTCAGTATCGTATGATTCCAACTCATACGAAAACTCTAGCCTGTGTGCAGCCGCTACCCAACCCTCACCCCTACGGGTAAAAAACGGAGAGGGAATTTAGAATACTCTAGAAAGAAGACGCTATCTACTATTATCTCTAATTGAAGTTTTTTCTTTGATTTACAGCTGAATATTTTCAGAAGCCTTCAAGCTACACATGGCTACCATCACGGCAAAATGTGCAACAATTACAGACCCACCCTACCCCTCAACGGCAGAAAGGTCTATGGTTACGAGTCATAAAATATGTTCCTAGTGATGTGGAGAGCTTTGTGTTGAAATACAAAACACATGATAGACTAATAAAAGGGTTTGCCCTGTAATAATCAAATAGTTTGATATTGTGCCTTTAAGTAAATGTTATAATCCATTCTCCAATGGGGCTGATTGCTATTAATTCAGCACTCGATTTGAGCCTCGGAGCTTGCGTTCAAAAGCCGCTGAATTATTAACGTTTAAATGGCTTTAATATTAATAATAATCTCGAACTGAAGGTTAATATATACCAGCAAAAGAATTGTAATATTCGTATTTTGCTGTGCAATAATAATAATAATAATAATAATAATAAATTTTAACAATCAGTAGCTTTAATAATGCATTATCGTAGGATCCTAGCCAAAGAATGTAATCAAAATCTATATATACAATATCTAAATATATTTGCAACAAATTAATAAATAAAATAAAAAAAGAGAAGAAGAAAAATTATAATAAAATATGCTATAATAAAAATATATCTACTAATGTATAACCATAAAATATATTTAGTAAAAACTAATCCTAATAATATATGTTAAAAAAATAATAATAATAATGCCAAACATTCATTATGGGGGATTTGTACTGTTTAATAAACGAGCAGGAGTGTTTTATCGGGTATAAAACACGAGGCGTAGCCGAGTGGTTTTAGACCCGATAAAGCACGATCTGCGAGTTTATTAAACGGCTTAAAAAAACTCCTGATGTATGTTCTCATACTGTACCGAATTCTTTACGAAATGAACCAAGTTTGATAGAGAAAATCCAAGTTAAAGTTTATGCAAATGAAGACGAATCT